GCCCGAAACACCTCCCCGGGGAGGCGTCCAGGAGGCATCCTCACCAGATGCCCGAACCACCTCAACTGGCTCCTCTCGACATGGAGGAGCAGCGGCTCTACTCCGAGTCCCTCCCGGATGACCGAGCTCCTCACCCTATCTCTAAGGCTGAGCCCGGCCACCCTGCGGAGGAAACTCATTTTGGCCGCTTGTACTCGCGATCTCGTTCTTTCGGTCATTACCCAAAGCTCATGACCATAGGTGAGGATTGGAACGTAGATCGACCGGAAAACTGAGAGCTTCGCCTTCCGGCTTAGCTCCCTCTTCCCCACAACGGACCGATTCAGCGCCCGCATCACTGCTGACGCCGCCCCAATCCACCTGTCGATCTCCCGTTCCATCCTACCCTCACTTGTGAACAAGATCCCGAGATACTTAAACTCCTCCACCTGAGGCAAAGCCTCCCCCCCGACCTGGAGCGGGCAATCCACCCGTTTCCGGCTGAGAACCATGGCCTCAGACTTGGTGGTGCTGATTTTCATCCCAGCCGTTTCACACTCGGCGGGTTTTTACCCAAGCGAGAGCTGAAGGTCGGCGCTCGATGAAGTTTCGAATGATCTCTCTCCTAAATGTGGAGGAGAAGATCTTCTTTAGCATAGTCGCAGGGAGATTAGCTAGTTTTTTAGAAAGGAATAGCTTAATAGATACTGCAGTACAGAAGGCAGGAATACCAGGTTTCGCAGGGTGTTTAGAGCACACTAGCATGATTTGGCATCAGATTCAGGCAGCCAAGACAGAGAAAAGAGACTTGCATGTCATATTTTTGGATTTAGCAAATGCGTTTGGTTCAGTGCCACACAGCCTTATTTGGGAGGTATTTGATTATTTTAGAGTGCCTGGAGTAGTGCTTAAGTTAGTAAGGCCGTATTTCCAAGACATTAGACTATGCTTAAGTACAGCAGGCTTTACAACAGGGTGGCAGAGGCTAGAAATAGGCATTATGGCAGGGAGCACGATTTCTCCATTGGCATTCACAATGGTGATGGAGGTAATCATTAGAGCTTCTAAGTGGGTTGTAGGTGGAGAGAGGCGGCAGGATGGGATGCGCCTTACACCAATTAGGGCCTACATGGATGACATGACATTGATAACTACGGTGCCATGTATGAAAGGAGTACATGAGAGACTACATAAAAACTTAAAGTGGGCTAGTATGAAAATTAAGCCTAGTAAGTCTAGAAGTATCTCAATAAGTAGAGGGAAGCTAAGTGATAGGAAGTTTGTAATAGACGAAGAGGAAATTCCAATAATTAGGGAAAAATCAGTAAAGAGTCTAGGTAGGTGGTACAAAGCAGACTTGAATGACGGGTAGTGCAGTTTCAGAAAGATGTTGCTGAGGGACTGGATAAAATAGATAAATCAGGGCTTCCAGGAAAGTTGAAGTTGTAGTGTCTGCAGTTCGGGTTATTTCCTAGACTGATGTGGCCACTGTCCGTATATGAGATTCCATTATCTGCTGCAGAAAAAAATGGAAAGATTAGTTAGCTTTTACATTAGGAAGTGGCTAGGTGTTCCTAGATGTTTAAGTACAGTGGCACTGTATGGGAAAGGCATACTTCAGCTCCCAGTAACTAGTCTAGTGGAGGAGTTTTAACGTACTAAGGTTAGGGCTTGGGCCTCACTTGGCTCTCTTAGACCTTCTGCAGCCATCCACCTGGCCTGCATTTTCAAGGCCTGTATTCAAGCACAAGGACTTTGTTAGACTTTATTCTTTTCTGTACAGAGATTTCCTATATTCACACAGTGCACCAATGCTGTACAAGTAAAAAAAAACAAAAAACAAAGTGCCAGTGCTTAAACTTCAACTGTCTGTGTGTGTGGTCTTGTATGAAACACAGGTATAATTAAAGTCAAGTTTAACTGCCAATCCAAGCTGTAACATGGGGCTGTATCCCCCACCCCACTCTCACTTGCACTCAATACACATGCAAATTTCCACCATCACCCACAGGTGAGCATTCACAGTCAGTCAGAGCAGCAAAGGTCACTGCCTAGATAACACACAGGCAATGATTTCAAAAAAAGGCGTCCAATGCGGGACTTTTAATTGAAAGGCTGATTGAGGAGCTGCAGAGTCGCCACATGCCGGTGGTTGGTGTCCCTCCACCGCTGCGTAATGTCAACGTGACGGCAACAACCACACAGCCGCCCGAGAGTGCGGCCACTGAGACCACTGGTGAGAGTCTGACATTGCCTCTGTCAGCAGTGGCAAGATCTTTCAATGGTGAGAATCTCAGTTTCACAACTTCACTGACGATGTTTGTTTTTGATTGAGAGTCACATGAATCACAAATATTCAGTATATAACAACAATTCACTATTATAACAATTATAACACTTTTCCCACATTGCAGTAACCCAGATGTGCAGTGGAAGCAGGCGGCCAGGAAGCTCATGGCAGAGAAGGGCCTCTATGAGAAGCACTCCATGGACTATCCGTTGTTGAAGGACTTTGTAATTTTCATTTTGGAGATCTTTCTCCAGGTATTTGGCAAACAGGAGGTGAGGACTACCATAAAACACTGTTTATTAAAAACTTCTGACTATCCAAGTAAAAAAGGATTTAGTGATCAGAAGGTAATTTAACATGTTTTTTTTCAGGTTGACAACGTAGCTCGGTTCCTGCACTACATGGACCCACAGGCCCCATCCCTGGAGTTCATCAGGAAGAGGGAAAAGATCACAGAGTACCTTCGTGAGCTCTCTGAGGCAAGGCTGACAAAGCAAACTCTGCTGAACTATCTGAAGAGCTTGAAAAGGTTAGTGCATTTGGTGTTTTTTTTTTTCATACAATGTCAACACTTGTGTAGACAATAAACATAGTTGGGCTTAAATACATATACTTAAATACTTGTACTTCCTCCGACAGATTCCTCTTGTTCCACACAGTCAACACCAGCCTGAGGCGCGAGGATCGGGAACTCCATGAGGACTGCAAGCACTTCATTGAGTTCCTTGGGTCTGTGCAGAAGTGCTGCTCCAAGCAAGTGAGCAAAGAGATCACCCAAAAGAGGTAAGTTTAACTGTTCTCACCCACCTAACTGGATTACAGTGTAGATATGTGAGCAATGTGGCATGTAACGTTATGATTTGTTAATAACATTTTATATATTTTCTCATAGGCATGGCATGTTGACTGAGCAACTTCAGCTGACACCACATGACTGCTTGGCTGTGCTGAGGGCTGCCAAGAAGGACTTGATGGCAGTTGTTGCGAAGGTGTAGTGTATTATCCACTTCATTTCTTCCTCTTTAAACAGTTTAAATTGTTATAGATCCTTCCTTTATGTAAGTTTTATTAATAAGTTAACGATGGGTGTCAATTAAGGTTTTATCAAAGGTTTCTTTGAAACTTTATATTATAAGTTAAGTTTAAGGAGGCGGCTCCTGTCGCCTCACAGCAAGAAGGTTCCAGGTTCGAGTCCCGGCTCGGACACGGGGTCTTTCTGTGTGGAGTTTGCATGTTCTCCCCGTGCTTGTGTGGGTTCTCTCCGGGTACTCCGGCTTCCTCCCACAGTCCAAAGACATGCAAATGGGGACTAGGCTAATTGGTTACTCCAAATTGACCATAGGTATGAATGTGAGAGTGAATGGTTGTTTGTCTCTGTGTGCCCTGCGATGGACTGGCGACCTGTCCAGGGTGTACCCTGCCTCTCGCCCGAAAGGATGCTGGGATAGGCTCCAGCCCCCCGCGACCCTACTAGAGGATAAGCGGTAGACAATGAATGAATGAATGAAGTTTAAGGAATGTGCATTAGGGGTAAATCTGCTTACTCTCTACTTTCTGTCTCCTACTAAATAAGACACTCAGGATGTGTGGGTCCTTTTTGGATCAAAAGGTTAAGAGGTTAGAAACCAGAGGTCATTGACCAGAAATGGTCGACCATTTGTGTGAAGGCCCTTCTATTAAAAAGGCACATCCCAAAGGTGGGATGAGACAGATAAATAGAGGGGTTTATGAGACAGTAGAGGAGGGTTCTCACATTGGCAGAGATACTCCAGGATTCGGCATTTTAGACACTGTTTTTCTTGTTAATAAACTTCTTTTGAATTACAAGTAAAGACGTGTCGGCGGTGATCACTTCACATCAGCACCTCAAGATACCACATTTTTGGCATCACGAACTTGGACGTGTTTGTGGCCTCTTCAGCGTCAGCTTCATCGAACCAACTCCCACATCAACCGAAGCTTCTATACAGGGTGAGTTTTTCACACTATTGTGCGCTGGTTTGCTCGATTAAAGCTGCTGCTGTTGTTTTGCTGATAGGCTACACCGTTAAAAAGAATCTTTGTAGGGTTTTTGTAATGCTGGTATGAAAAGTCATATGCCGTTTTAAATTTTTCTAAATTTGAGTTTATTTTTTTAGTTTATTTGTTTATTCATTTTTTTGCGTTGTGGCCAACGAAAAAAAGGGGGGGAAATAGAGATAAAGAAAGGAATAAGTATATTAAAGGAAAAGGAAGCCGCCAATTTGGATAAAACCCTCAGGGAGGTGGTTTTAGACGGGCCAAAAAACTTGTTTTCTAGGTAGAATTTCAGGTCAGTCCTCAAAAGGGGGACTGGAGAGAGATTACTTCAGTTAGATGGTGCCCACTCTTACGATGATCGACGGGTCACGTATGATGCTGCTTGTATTGAAAGTGCTGTCTTTGATAGCTAGCAAAAATCTAAATTAAGGAAAAGAGCGGCAAAAAGCATGCTTACTTAGTATAGTATTAATGAGTCGACTTTAAGAATAGATTGTTGTTTGTGTTCTATTCTTTGCTTGTTAGTTCACATCGGCCGAAAAATAAAAAGGAAAAGAAAAAGAGTTAAGGAAGCCGCTAATTCGATAAAGCCCTCAGGGAGGTGGTTTTAGACCGGCCAAAAAACCTGTTTTCTAGGTAGAATTTCAGGTCAGTCCTCAAAAGGGGGACTGGAGAAGCAGATTACTTCAGTTAGATGGTGCCCACTCTTACGATGGCCGACGGGTCAGGTATGATGCTGCTTGTATTGAAAGTGCTGTCTTTCTCAGGTAGCAAAAATTTAGAGTAAAAGGAATAAGGGAGTGGCAAATCATGCTTATATAGGACAGTATGAATGGTTCGACTTTAAAATAGAATGCTGTGTGCTTATTGGTTAATGTCAGTGTATTGATAAGTTGGAGAGGGATTCTCTCCCCCTTCCTCTTTCTGCTGCCTCTCTGTAAAGAGAAACTTTAAGCATTATATGTTGATTGTTTTTTCTGTATGTGATATATTTTTATGTTAAAATAATAATAAATACTTACCTGTTATATATATATATATATATATATATATGAAAGGGTATTTACACTCTCTATAATTATATGAGCCTGTTTAAGGACGTTTAAGTAAATAATATGAGCCTTAGAAAAAAGGACTATTTAATAAATATATGAGCTTTCTTGGGGACTTTGTTAATTTTATGAGCTTCTGTATAAGAGACTTTGAAAAATAAATAAGCCCCAGAAAGACTAGATACGCAAAAGAGATGATTTGATAGATTCTAAGAAAGTGAGAGATTTATGGATTGACAGTTTAAATTTACAGGATACTTCATTAGCTTTTTGGGAATAAATAAGTGAACTATTTGCTTTCTTCCGAGTGTGCACGATCGGGAGGAACCAAAAGGTCCAGGGGTGAATTCTGGAGTCAAGAGGACATCTGGTCTACACCATATGGATTGAGGTTGCAGACAACAACGCTTGCATCTGAATCCAGTGGAAATAAGGCCAGTACGATTTTATCCACAAACTCTTGCTGACAAATGTATTTGTACCTTTGTGCATACATTCATACTTGATGGTACATTTGTCTACCATATCTATATATATGTGTTGTAGTTGGAGAAAGCTTGGCAACTGACTGATCATCTGATTAGAAAAAGGATTTGCGTTTGGCATATACGTAAATCTTGTTGTTGGTGAATTGTGTGTGGGAACTTGGCGTTGTAGATATCTACCTATAGTACTTTCTTAGACGAATGAAGTTACCAACCTCAAAAGAGCCAGTTTTTGTTGGCTGTGATTTGGAAATAAATAAATTATAGAATATATATAAAATATCATAATGTCAAAAACGGATACCCCAAAAGTCATTACTCCTGTTGAGGTAGTCCAAAAGAACAATCCTCTAATCAAAGATGTAGCAGAAGTATCTAAAAAATGGTCTAAGCGCTGGTCAATTGATCAACCATGGCCAGCGGTAGGGACTTTTAATCTAGACATGATCAAAACAATGCAGGTGCTTGTGTCAACGTATCATTTAACAGGGCAGAAAGGGAAAAAGGGAGAGAAAGCTAGACAAAAGAAAGAAATGGAACTTGCTATGCTCCAGCTGTTTGAACAGGAAGGACAGAAATGGCTGGAGGCTAAGAAGATAAGAGAAAAAGTTGAAGAAAAAACACAAGAGTTGTGGGCAGAAATTGATCGGCCCTTTACACATATAGCTCCAATACAAAAACCCCCCACCTTATGAGAATGAGGTGGATCTTAAAGAGCTTTATCCTCAGCTTCCACTGATAAGTCAGGAAGGTAAGTATAGTATTAGAGATGATGACGATCAAATAATAGAAACAGGACAGGCAGAGACCACAATTAAAATGCAACCAACAACTAAAAGTAAAAAGAAAACATTAAATGTTGGCTCTAAGGGAAAGTTAAAGTCTAAGGGAAAGGATTCAGATGAAGATTTGAGTGACTTTCAAAAAGCTATGGGGGGGATATGGCCCAACAGTCAGGCGACTTTTGGCTAGAGCAGAAAGAAAGGGAGCTAAAGAGGGACAGAAGAAACAAGTTAAAAATAATAGCCCTACTGAAAGTGAGGATGAGATTAGGGATGCAGGTTTAGAAAGTGACAGTTCTTCAGAAGAGTTTGATAGAACAATACGTAGTTTTAGAAGAAAAAAAGAATAGAGGACAGATTGAAGAAGAAATTGATGCAGACATTCAACAATGTCTTATAGAATTGGATGCATGCCCTTCACCATACAGTAAACAAAAATTAGAAGACCAACTACAGGAGCTAGAAATAAAAAAAAGAAAGAGTTGAAGAAAAAAGATTCAAAGAAATTAGAAAAGGAAGTAGAAGGATACTTACTGTGTTCAAAAACAAAATATAGATCTGATAAAATGCTGCCAGTGATAATTCATGGTCAAAATTTTGAATATAAACCTTGGCAGAACACAGATATGATGGACATCTTGGAAAAATTACCTATTCTCCAAAATGGAGCACATCCGTGGATCTCAAAGTTAGAAGAACTTATGGTGGGGACACAACTTGCCATGGGAGACATTAAGAGACTCCTAGCAAACATCTTAGGGGTTCCAGCTATGGAGGAAATCCTCCAGAGAGCAAGACTTAATCGTATTGTGGCAACCTCTGTAAATGACTGAGCTTTTTGCAGCAAATAGAGGTCGAATGTGGAGGTCTTTGAGAAACACCTTTCCCACAAATGTGCACCCTGACAATATCTTCATTGAATCATTGGGACAAAATGAAGATCCAAGAGCCTATGTTTCAAGGGCTCATCAAACATGGAGAAATATTACAGGTAATGACCCAGATGAACGTCAAATGGAACAATCAATTCTGCGAGATAAAATTCAAAAGGGACAACCCCTCCCAGTGAGGAGTAAGTTGGCAGAAGTAGTTGGTCTTGGGAACATGACAAAGGGAGTTTATACTGACCATATAGCTCATCAAGTTGAGTTATATAGAAAAAAGGAACAGGACCAGAGGGAACAAGATAAAGAAAACCCTCAGAAAACTTAATCAAATTCAACTGGTAAGATAAAAAGAAACAAGCCTTACTTATACAAAATCAGTTTTAACTCAATTAATTTGCACCACAGATACAGCCGAATCAACTTCAAATACAGTAGCCTTGTTCAGTAGGTTTTGTTGCATTCAATCCACAGCTAGTTTATGGACAACAGCGAGCACGGTGAGGAAGGACAAGAGGAAATTTGAATTCAAACTTTCAACAGAATTTAGAAGTGTGTTATAATTGTGGGCAGCTTGAACATTTGTTTGTAGGTGTAATGGACTGGGAAGAAATTTCAGAGGAAACCCAAGAGGAAGACTTAGAGGTCAACCAATGACAGCTCGAGGACCGGTGAACCCTTTTAGGGGATTGGAGCCGGGATTCTAGGGGTGTCTAGAAAACCTGAAAGGGGGGTATCAGTTGGTAGTATCAGGTTCGGAGTAAGATCCAACAATAATAGTGAAAGTGAATGATCGACCATTAGAAGTAATGGTAGATAGTGGAGCAGCTTTCACTTGTATTCGACCTGAGGATAATATGCACCTCCTTATGTCTGGATTAATACGGACAATCGCATTTGAGGGAATAAAACACCTGATACCTCTTACAGAACCAAACGAGCTCCGTTATAGAAATCAAAAAATTACAATGCCCATACTTGTATCAGAGCACACACCAATTGCACTTTTGGGAAGAGATGCTTTATATAGATTAAATTGCACTATAAAGTGTACATCAGACGGTTGTTTGATAGAAATGCCAAGTGATACTGCTCGGCAATTGATAACAGAAGTCGAAGCCTCTTCAGTGTTTTGGATTGGAAATCTTTGTGCTAAATTTTTAGAACTGGTCAAGTTGTGGGAGAAGTTTATTGTGGCAAACATGCCCGATATAGAACTTCCAGAATATCCATTGCATTGTACTTTGAAATATTTTAAGAATGCCACTCAATCAAATTCTGCAGAAAGAAAGTTGAACTTACTTCCAGTTGTATAATCCTGGGGCCACAAGGAGTAGCCATGATGCTTGACATGAACAATTATGTTAACAGAGAATGTGACATTAGGGAGAGTTTGCCACATGTGACTTTGTATGTGTTTGAAGAATATGTGCAGAAACACATAGGAGAAATGATGGTGAAAGCCCAAGGAACAGGGTTTGCGGTTTAGAAATCTGGACTGGTACCACAACCCGCATCAGCACAGCTTGCTGAACTTGTGGGATTGATTGAAGCATGTGTAGCGGACACTGGTGGACGCCAGTGACCAGACACCATATTTATGGTAAGGACACTGGGGTGCTCTGGAGGATATGGGGAGCCTCCCATGTCCACTTTCCCATCATCAAACCATCACATGGATAGAAAACAGGGACGAAATGAGTTCCCCTCACCAATAGACTAGCTTTTGAAGATACCATCGGAATTTATGGCTAGCTCATCGAACTCATTCTGAACCAACACTCCTGCACCAAATGGGAGACAAACACAACTCTCCCCCACAGACTGACAATGAATTCATGTTTCATCCCTGACACTCATCCGGGATTGATAGGAGGGTGCCACCTCTTATCAAATAACATGAAAAGGAACATTTAGCCATCAAGGTGCTAAACCACCAGGATTCACACTCCTGGTTCATCTTCTCTCACAAGAGAAAACAACACTCTCACCTTTAACACCCTTTCTTACCCAAAGGGGGGTCTCACAAGGAACCACAGACCCCCGCCATAAAACCATCCTACATTCCAAGCCGGATTGATGAACTATTCCACATTTTATAAAGCATGATTGAAATGTCATTGAACCAAACGTCCTATCACCAGGTAATTCATGCAGTATTACTCTGGAAAGATTTCAACTAAGTATGATCCGAAGTTCATTTCTGTAGCCCACATGGAGGCTGAGATAGGTTTTATTAGTTCTAAGGTAAATATCCACCATGTTACAATACTGCCATCTAAGGACCAGACTGGACCCCTTTTTCCCTTAGGGAATTAAGAAATAGACAAACTTAATGCATCACTCTGACATTACTGTTTTATATTGTAACTTAGCTATATATTTGTGTGGTTACAAATTGTTATCCTTTCATTGATCTATGTATTCTATGTGTGTTGTTAAACATGATGATTTTATTAGTTATCTTGTATATTCCAAACTTTAGCTAGGTAGTTGATATAGGCCGTTGTCAAAATGAATGGGCCATGGTGGGAGTAGAATATGCAACACTTGCGCGTAAAACCAAATTAAACAAATTAACTTAAGGTTTTATTTCTCTCTTTCTTTATTGAAACAAAGAAAGAGAAGGAAGACCAAAGGGGTGGCGACAACTGTCAAGCCCCCCCCAGCTACACACACCCCGAGGATAAAACAGCAGGATCCTCCAGGGCTCGGCCCTTCTCCCTTCTCCCTTCTTCTTTTTTTGCTTCTTCATCTTCTTCTTCTTTTACGTCTTCTTTTGCATAGCCTCGTTTCGCGCACTAGCTCACGTTCGTTTCTAGCTTAAACTTTACTTCTTACACTTTGGTGCGCGATTTTTGCCTTACTATTTCAACAAGCCAAGCCTTCCAAATTGAATCACACACAGGTGTGTATAAGTAATTTTGTCGTTTTTCCTTTTGTGACAAAATCCAGCTTTTGTCTAGAAGATTTTGAAGGTTTTGCGTCGTTTGGCCAACACCAACTCCTTCCAACTTATCTGGCAAATTAAGTCAAATACTAGCGTTTATTCCGCTGTCAACCTCCGGCCCTCCGGCTACACGCCACACCAGGACCGGCTAACCAGATCTCGAGAGTGCCTACGAAGAAAGTCTGCTGGCAGACTGCGCCGACGCTGATCCACCGAGACATCGGCAGAGCCCGTCACCCCTGGCAACGGCCGTCGTCTCTGAGAGAAACCCACTTGGAGTGTGGCGTCCCCGTCGCCTAGCAACCAAACTCCGGGGCTCCAGCCAGGATCTCAACAGCGCTCCGCTACTCAAAGTAGGCAACTCTATCCTTTGCTCCGAACTGGGTTGATGTCGGAATAATACTAATCCCGATTTAATAATTCTCCACCGTTACGAATAAATGCTATACACATATCTAAATCCATTCTCTTTCACCATCGCCCAAATCACTGCTAGTTCAGCTGGTAGATATAGTTATTATTAGTTATAGATTCATGTCATTATCCTTGTTCATTTTACTGTGTTTAGTTAGTCAATAAATATTATCAACGTAACCCAGTCGTTGCCTGTGTTTCTTTGAGGTGAAGATCGGAGATCCCTGTAATCGAGAAATCACAACTTTGGATGTGAGATTGATCAAAACAATCTGTACTTTAATCAAATTGTCCTCCCTGAGGACTGGTGCCCCATTCTTTTAACGAGAGCAAAATTCAAATTGTGGTATTCACGCTACACATGCATGTTAGCTGAAGGAAGGCGTGTGACAATCTACACGGATTCAGAAATGGACAAACAGCTGTGAGTGGATCATGATGCCATTCAAGATTCCACTGGTCTTTGGAGAAATCATGAAGGATTAATTATAGCACCTCCGGATCTGCTCGGTTTAATGATCCAAGAGGCACATGGGTTGGCCCATGTTGCAAGGGGGGAGGTTAGGAGAAAGATCATTAAAGAGTACGGATTTTGGGCACCATACCTTTTAGAATGTATTTTTTGTCGGAAAGGTGTGATAATTATATCCCAACGCCAAGGGGTCCGATGCGAAAGTTGGTAATTGATTTTGTTGACATGATAAAACCAGTTGAAGGAGAAAGGTATATGCTGGTTGTTGTCAACAGATTCTCAAGGTGGCCAGAGGTCTGTCCAACTAAACGCAAAGACGCTCAGTCACTTGACAAATTTTCTGTGTAGGGAAGTAATTTGTAGATGGGGACTCCCTGATAGATAATCATCAGAAAATGGTAAAGAGTTTGTTGATAAAACAGTGAAACTAATTTTACAAAAAAATTGGGATTCAAACAGCTTTTTGCGGGTGATAGACAGTTCCAAGGCGCCAAGAAATTTTTGAAAAAACGAATGATGTTCTCTATTTTCCAAAGGATACTGGTCTGTTTTCTCTCTCCTTCTCAGAACATATCAGAAATATCACTGTGAAGTGCCTGGCTGTTCGGGGTTCCAGATGTCCTGAGGAGATTCTGACATCTAATATGAAGATCAAACAAGGACTGAAGGACCCTGAACCTGGACACTAAAATTGACAATGAAGAATCAATACTACACAAGAACTGTAGTGTGACCAATATGTACATTTTACTGTATGTATTGAATGTATGTGGATGTATAGGAATCTCAGATGTTTTTCCTTTTTGGCATCTAGGGAGAACAATGTTAGGCAGGGAAAGGTCCAGCGGAGGATCCGATGGGTTGACCAGTCTAAAGTTGGATGTTATTTTGATTTGATTTGTCTGGGGTTTCACATACATCTACTTATATTATTCCTTTTTTTAATTGGTCTGGAGTACTACCAAGTGGTGGCCTATGGCAGAGGGACCGTGAGAGAGTTTCCTATTTTAAATTCTTGATGGAAATTTCAAGAAAGTTTAGCTGCCTAATAGGTTTTCACTCACACTCCACAAATTGGTTATGCTAAAAGTAATTGGGAGGATTTTTATTTTCATTAGTACAATGAATTGGGTTTTTATTGTTAAGGGTTAGGTTAGGTTAAGAAGTTAGAAACCAGAGGTCATTGACCAGAAATGGTCGACCATTTGTGTGAAGGCCCTTCTATTAAAAGAAAGGCACATCCCAAAGGTGGGATGAGACAGATAAATAGAGGGGTTTATGAGACAGTAGAGGAGGGTTCTCACATTGGCAGAGATACTCCAGGATTCGGCATTTTGGACACTGTTTCTTTCTTGTTAATAAACTTCTTTTGAATTACAAGTAAAGACGTGTCAGCGGTGATCACTTCTTCACATCAGCACCTCAAGATACCACAAAGGTCTTCGAGGACAAGAGTGCAACCCTGGAGTTGACCGAGTGCAGCTTCATGGTGTACTACCTCCAGGCAGTGGTCATCCTGAGGCACCTCCAACGACCAGGCGTGGTGGAGCACATGACTGAGTATTCTTATGCTCTTTTTGTCTGCATTGTTAGTAAAATTCACCTGATACTTTTTCCATTCCCCATACTAATCAATGTGATATCCTTGTTTTGTGCAGGTGCAGGAGTGGATGGTCCGTCAGACAGACGGGTCAGGCAACGCCATTGTTGGTGTGAAGGAGCACAAGACCGCCACACAGCAAGTTGCCTCGTTTGCCCTGTCACCGGAGGAGGAGTGTGTAAGTTCAGATTTCCCCTGAGAATCTGTCAGAACCTGTTCAAAAGCAGAAATTAATCTTTATTCCTATGTTTCCTCTGCCAACAGTGGTTTGACATTTACTCCACACGAGTGCAGCCACAACTCCTCAACTCCAAGAAGCGCAAGCGGGATGACGAGGAGGAGCGGTTCTTCATCTCCACCGCGGGGAGGCCGATCTATAATGCCTTTTAGTTCCAAATCCTACCACCGTGTTATCCTCAATACCGGCTAATTCCACTCATTATACAGTACTTGACTTCTGTAGTGCATTCTTTTCTGTTCCTCACCGTAGGAGATAGTTTTTGTTTGCATTTACATATGACAATATACATTCACTAAATTACCCAAGGGATACACTGAGTCACCTACAATCTTTTCTTCCACATTAAATAATGATTTGAAAGATATATATAATTTCCAGGTGGTTCTATGCTAGTACAATATGCAGATGACTTACTTCTAGCCTCACCATCATCCACTGCTTGTGAGACTGACAATTGTCCTTCTCAAGGCTTTGGCAGTGAAAGGTCACAAAACTTCACTGAAGAAGGCTCAATTGTGTCAGAATGTGGTCCAGTATTTAGGACACACATTACCAGGCTCCACAAGAGTCCTTACCCCTTCAAGGATAAAGGCCATAATGGAAGTACCTAAACCTGTTAACATATCACAAATGAGGACTTTTCTTGGAATGACAGGTTACTGCAGGCAATGGATAATTGATTATGCATTACTCGAAGCACCACTCCAAGATATGTCCAAATCCATGTAGCGTACATGCGTGGCCTGGCATCAGTCACAAGCCATTAAGGAAGTTCATTATAAAGGACATGCAGAGTTACGGACCCACAATTGACACTTTGCGACTCTTCCCATCATCAAACTATCAAATTGATAGGAAACAGACATAGATCCCTCTTCCATAAACACCATGCTTTTAGCATGTCCGAATGACACAGAACCAGACCAAAGGTCAGCTCCAGAGGATCAACCAATGGACACCAGACAACTGGAAAATATAGGCAAAATCTCCAGTTTGTAACAATAAGATTTTGTCTAATGATATTTGTTTCATGTATAGGACAAGTAACAACAAAAGGACTGATTAACACTAAGGTGTGAATCCTGGCCTGTCTGTGCCATGCATGAACACACACACCAACCTCCCTTCCTCTGTCCCTCTCTAGATAGTCAGGTACTCGTATGTTAACACACATGGTAGTCCGTCTCAGTTCTAGAACCTGCATGAAGCTAACCACCCCCCCTTAACCTGGAACCTTTAGATTACATGAGCTAGACTGACAAAGAAACTCACACCTTCCCTCTCACACACCCCAGGTTGTCCAGTGGCCATTTTGAGTAGTTTTTGTTTACCACCATCTTGTGTAGTCTTCTTGATTCAGGTCATGTGGTCACTGACCACTTTGAATCGGCCATCTTGCCTTTGTTTGTGTCCCCACAAACACACACATACACATTGTCATGGGTTTTGAGCTAAGTAGGACCCAAAATGCAGCCAACACTTGGGGAACGGTGCAGACAGGTTTATTAAAACAAACAAAAGAACTTACAAAACAAACACAGGGGATGACATGACATGAACAGCTCTGACCCACCCGACATGAACAGACGACATGAACTGATGAGGACCAACCCAGAAATAAACAGATGAACCGACACAGACAAAGGGGAGCACAAAGACTATATAGACAAGGGAGGCAAGGGTGATTGAACAAAGGTGAAACACATTAGGGCGGGGCAGACAATCACCACACAGAAACAGGACCAAGACAGGAAGCAAAAACACTGATACACAAGGAAACCAATTACAAAATAAATCAGGAAGTGAGAAAGTCCAAAACAAAAACAAAAAGTGTCAGCAATAGCAAACCATGACACACACACACACACACACACACACACACCTGTATATACTAAATCAGACACTGTTTTACTCTGCTTCATTGTAAATAAATGCCTTTAAGTATAACTACTGGTGTGTTCAATGTTGCACAAGCGTGAATGTTGCCAACCTCTATTTTATAGAATTCTAATCCTTCAACTTTAACTTACTGTTGATTTGGTAGTTTGATTAACAATTAGCTTACTAACTATAACCAGAGTTCCAGATTAATGGTAATAATTTGAGACTAAAACTATATTGGCTATTTTGCGTATTTGTTTAGGCTGGTGCCCCAAGGACTTTAATTCATTTTAAAGTTATTATTTACTATTCATATTTTTAATATTAATATTTTCTTAAATTTATGATAGCCAATAAATTCGTAGACAACCAAATTCACATATTTGGGCAGCCAAAATAGGCTCATACCAACTAGCCTACAGTTGCGCTCCACAGTAAAAGGACACAGAGCCAATAAGATTCTAGACAAAGCTCAGAATCACCTCCTTAATGAGAGAGTAAGGCAGGTCCTTTTCACCATAGAAAGGTTCAAGGAAAAAGCTGACCACTTTTTCCAAAACTTGAAAACACTCCTACCAGTTGCGTTGTTTAAAAAGGTTGTTGACTTCACCACGAGAGCCCAACTAGCCCAACACACCAAGGGCAAAGAAAGGCAAAGAAAGAAATTCTGCAATCTCCAACACAAGACAATTAACTCAGGTAACAAAGCAGGAAACTCAAAAGAGGAACAGGAGGCAAACCAACACACAAAAACAGACAGATGGGTAAAGAACTTCTGACAGGGAACTTACCCAGCCCGAGAAGGAGGTCCTAACAAAAGGGCTAAATTTTGCTGTTACACCAGAACAAGTTCCTATAGTTGAACTCATCACAGCTACAGAATCAGCTATAAGGAAAAACAACCTGAAAGAAACTGAAGCAGAACAGCTAAGGTTTAAGGTGTCAGCAACCCTGTCCAATGCTAAGGCTCCACCTTCGAACCTCACCTATCATGAAAGAAAAGCTGTGATGTCCCTAAGCAAGGATAAGAAAATCACTATCCTTCCAGCTGACAAAGGGAGATGCACAGTAATTCTGAATACAAGTGATTACCATGCTAAGGTTGCCACTCTTTTAAATGACACAAGTACCTATGAAATATTGAAGCGAGATCCGTCCAGTGGCTACAAAAAGGTCATTGAATGCCTCCAAAAACTACAACAAGATGGAGCCCTTGACCGGCCACAATACCTCCGTCTCTATCCTCAGGACACCATTCCATGCCTATATGGACTCCCCAAGGTCCATAAGGAAGGGGCACCACTCCGACCCATCGTAAGCAGCATCAATTCAGTAACCTACAATATCGCTAAGCTTGTAGCCAACATCTTAGCCCCCCTGGTTGGGAACACACCACATCATGTTCGAAACTCGTTAGACTTTGTAAATAAAATCAAAGGCTTGAAAATGGCACAAGATGAAACCATGGTGTCATACGATGTGACCTCCTTATTCACCTGTATTCCAACCATGGAGGCAGTGGAAACTGTGAGGAATCACTTGAAACAAGATCACACACTACATGACAGAACAAACCTCAAACCAGATCAGATTTGCCAGTTACTGGATTTATGCCTCACAACCACATATTTCCAGTTTAACGGCAACTTCTACAGACAAAAGCACGGCTGTGCTATGGGCTCACCTGTGTCCCCCATTGTGGCCAATCTATACATGGAAATGGTAGAGCGAAAGGCCCTCAACTCCTTCAAGGGAACTCCACCAAGCCATTGGTTTAGGTATGTGGATGACACATGGGTAAAGATTAAAACACAAGATCTACAAGCCTTTACCCAACACATCAACTCAGTGGACAAGAACATCAAATTCACAAGAGAGGATGTCAAAGACAACCACCTACCTTTCCTTGACTGTGATGTCCACCTTGCTGGGGACAGGAGCCTCCACATTGGAGTATACAGGAAGCCCACGCACACAGACCAATACCTTCTCTTTGACTCACATCATCCACTGGAGCACAAACTGGGTGTTATCAGAACCTTGCAACACAGGGCTGACAACATACCAACCTCCACTCGGGCCCAAGCAGAAGAACATAAACATCTAAAGGGAGCTCTGAAAACTTGTGGCTATCCGAGTTGGACTTTTGGCAAAACAACAACACGCTCCAGAAAGAATACCAACACGGAGGATGCTGAGAAAATGAAAGATAAACGCAGAAACATCGTCATTCCATACGTGTCTGGGGTCTCAGAGAAACTCAGGAGGATTTTTAACAAACATCAAATCCCTGTATGTTTCAAACCCAGTAACACGCTCAGGCAGAAACTGGTACCTCCCAAAGACAAAACACCACACAATCAGAAAAGCAACCTGATATATGCGGTCAAATGCAGTGAGGAATGCAATGACCTATATATTGGGGAAACTAAACAACCTTTAAACAAACGTATGGCCCAACACAGAAGGGCAAACTCTTCAGGCCCTGTCTCAGCTGTCTACTCCCACCTAAAGGAAAAGGCACACTCCTTTGAAGACAGCAATGTCAAAATCTTGGACAGGGAGGACAGATGGTTTGAAAGGGGAGTCAAGGAAGCCATCTATGTAAAAGTGGAGAAGCCATCGCTAAACAGGGGAGGGGGTCTGCGACACCATCTATCCCCCATCTACAATGTCGCCCTTTCATCGGTACCCAGGAGAGTCAACAACATAACCTCAGACGACTCTCAACGATCGTCATCCACCAGGGGCTCACCTGACCCTAACGACGGTCGTCCACATGAGACCACAACAATGGTCAGGTGAAACCAGTACTTTCACAGGTACTTTGGTGGACCCACCCACAAGAGGTTAAATACCTGGGTCCTACTCCACTTTCTTGGTCAGACTAGTGTGGACTAGAGGGACCAATACATAAGAACTGATGAAGCCGCTTGGATAAGAGGCGAAACGTCTTCCACAGACAAATACAAGTCCAGTTGCCTTCGATTTAATTTGAGAGAGAGATAGCTCATGAGATAGAGCTCAGACCCAACATAATGGTGCCCCTGCGTGTGAGGCAAAGTACTGTTGGCAAATATTCATAATTGTGCAATATTAAATTCATAATTTGGCCAAAACTGCAAAGGTAAGAGCTAAAATTTTAGTCCACCACAAGAGTAAATGTACTTACAAGTGCACTGTGGTGAGAATTGGTTTACCAATTTTATCTGAAGCAATATTAGACGTCCTCCAGTTAATAATAGCTAACACATAAGCCTTATTATCACAATAAGAGCTTGCTATTGTTGCTAACAATTCCAGTTGAGTTTATCCTGTAGAAAGTGTAAGAACCACAGTTAAGCATTTGAATACCACGTGTTCAATGCTATCTAGTAAAGCTGTCAGAATTGGCTGTTAATTCAAGTGCTGCTCCCTTTAACTTAGACACTGTGTACAGAGAGCTTGTACCTGGCTGTTACTGCCAAGCATTTAAGTCTGAGTAAGACATAGAGCCTGAGATAGAGCCACAGTGTGCTACCAGCCCTGTGAAACCCAAGTTCTGCACCAAGCTGTTACTGCCCTGCATTAAAGCCTGAGTCAACTTGAAGAGATAATCCTTGGACTGTTACTGCCTTGCATCTCAGTCATTGCTTTTTGAAACATTTCTTAAGCAGACAGTAAACCTGCACTTGCCTTTACTGTCCTTAATCTTTATGCCCAATAGTGTAGCTACCCCTCCTCCACAGGAAGCTACCCCCCATAGTGTAGGCCACTGCATTGTTTAGTTAGGCTAGTGTACTGCCAAACTACACTACAAGGTGTCTTCCAGCGCAACACCACAGCCAACTACATTGCCTTCTTGTTAGAACTCCTGTGTAGAGCAGTTTATTTCTTCCCTAGCACAGAGCCTGAAGCCTGGCTACTGCACTCCCTGGAATTTAACTTGCTGATAAATTCTAGGTAAAGAAATAGACTTGCTACTCAGTGACAGAGGCGATGCTCAGACTGCATCCAAAGGCCCATTGTTAAGATGTGTGCTGTTGAACTTCCACAGGCAAACCAACATTGCCCTTCAGAGCCAAGTGGCCCTAGAGGAGGAGGGAAAAATCGCTTAGAGATCAAAATGCTTTTCTCCTCCAGGAAGTTGAGGCTAACAAGAAAGCCATGCGCTACTTAGGAGACCTGCATGCAGCAGAGTTAGATCTCTGTTCACACAAGGAAGAATTGTTAAGGGTTAAATCGGAATGCCTTGCTCCACCACAATCGTTGAGTGCTTGTGATTCTGGTTTTCTGCTTCACACTCTTCCCTCCTCAATGACAGGTTAACTCCGCCCCCACTCAGAAGATGGGACCAATTCCCAACTGACCCTAAGTCCTGGGAAATTAAGTCAGCTCCTCAACCTCCACTGAGAGACAGAGGTTACACCCACCTGACGTCCTATCTTCCTGAAATTGACATTGAAGAGACAGGTAGTTTATCCGGTAGAGGATATTCATGTTCCCATCAGCCACTGATTCAAAACACTTTCACCTGTGCTCACCCCTCCAATAGGAAGACCAAAACTTTCCTGGACTGTTCAGCCTACTGTCTGCGCCTTCATGAGAGTGATGACCACTGCTCAGCTCCTTCTAGTCCAGCTAACTTAGTCTCACCTTCATCAGTAGGGACCTCACAGTGCCCCTGCCTCAAAGTGCTTGAGTTCATAGCAAAGGACATTGAACATTTTGATTCAGATCAACATATTGAAAACTACTTTAGTGAGTTAGATCATAACCTAATTGATTTACCCCATGCAACCCAAAGGGAGAAAACTAAACTAGTGTGGAAGACCAGCTGAAAGCAGTCCACAAGGTTATGCAATCACTGCCTCCCAGTGTCAGAGATGACTACAAAGAGCTCCGTCTAGCACTGACAGAAGAATTCTCTCCTGTTGCGGATGAGATAAAATATTTGGTTGCAGCTTCTCAAATCAAACACTCTCGCCAGAAACATCCCAATGACTTTCACCAAAGTTTGAGGAATGCATATTTTCAGGGTAGGAACACCAGGCTTAGAGGAAACCTCCACCCTCAAGTCTTTGTTCCTACGAAACCTCCATCCCTGTGTACGCACTCACGTTACACTGATGACGCATCAAGGTAAGCCCACCATGCAGGAAATAAAGAAGATGACAAAAATGGCTTTGGAAACCATGGTCACTTTCAAGGCAAGGGGTAAAACAACTGAGCCTAGCAGCTCAGACACCTTAGCGTCACACAGACATGTAACCTCAAAAGATCACCCTCAGAACAGATCGAAGGGGGGTGATAAAAGGCCACATACGAGTGTTGAGCGTAACCGCCACATCCCCAAACTGCATAGAGATAGGCACTCCCACAATAGGAGCAGGAGACGGCCTTACGCAGATATTCTGGCTCAGACACAGGACCAGTCAACACATGGATCAGACAATGACCACATCATCTCCGACCATGTTAACTCAGACAGTGACAATGCCTCTGAATGTTTTCAGCTACTCAAAGTGTTATAGCTTTGTGCCACAAGTTAGGGAAAGCTTAAAGCACCGGCGCTGCAGAGTTCACCATACTGACAGTAAGTAGGCTCAGGGTACCCTACACTTTTGCAGATGGACACTGTTGGGCCTTAACATGTGGTCGACCTAGAGCAGGCCTGCTCCGGCCTACATGTAACCTCAGAAGCCTGACCTCAGAGCCTAAGTTCTAGCCTCAGGCCTGAACAAAGGAAAGGGCGCCAAAAACGGCCCCTCACAGACTCCATCTCCCAGCAGGCCTTGCAGTTCACACCTGAGTGTGAAATCTGGGGGAGTCCCAAACTCACGCTTCCCATTGGCGGAGATGCAGGGGACCCCGGCGACTCCGCATCTATAAAGGTCAGACGCGCATACTGACCATGGCCTTTCCATCGTAGCTGTAGCAGAGGTAGCCCGCTCTCTCTCTCTGTGAACCAGTCTACTAACAGAGGTAACAACCCTGTGCACATTTTCCCCGCGGAGTTTGGAGATTCTCCCCTCGCTGGACGAGCTGAGACCCCCCCCCCCCTCTTTGTTTGTTACTTCATTTTTGTGGTGTTTAACGGAACACCACGCGCAGATCCAACAAGAGGTCTCTGCCGACGCAGATCACGATCTCTCTTACCTGCAGAAGGAGGAAGCAAATTCTTCACGGAGGCGCGGACAACTCGACGTTCGTTACCCTCTTATTAAGTCGACATTGCTGGTTTTCTTCACTGCCAACAAGAAATCAGCCGCTGCAACCCTCACGAACGAGGACGGCACCGTCAGGACCACATCGGAGTAACCGTGTTGGATTCCACCGACGGACTGATACACACCCCATCGCTTGGAGGCGATCCAAGTAAGAGGTTTACGTCTGGGCAGAGACTGTAGTAAT